TGAGAAGAGGAAAAAAATGGAAACAAGGTCTTTGCAAATAGGGAAGGGTGGAGGGGGTGAAGGGAGGGCAGGGGAAGGGGAAAAAAATAAGAACCAAGAGACTCATGTAAAGGTACAAGATCCCAATGATGAATGTAACTATTGTATACCTAAAATGTACCAATAAAGTTAATGGGAAAAAGACAAAAAAAACCCCCACAAAACATTAGGCTGGCATTTCAGCAAGGAAATGTATAACCAGACTAAGCAGCAGCTGTCCCTTTTACCTAGTGTGAACTGCCCAGTTTCCACAGTAACTGTGTGCCATTCCTCCCTCTTGTATGCTTGCTGCTTGGCTCTTGCAGTCTTCCCTCATGTATGGCATATTCTGCTCCTGATAACTCTCTGCCTGGGTAGCAAGTAGCAGAGATCTGTTTTCTAATACAAAAGGAGAGAATTCTCTTTCTGTTGTCTCATTTACTTCAGTCCTCTGTTTTCAGCAGGCAATACGCTTAAGGCCCATAGACAGCCACCTGTTTTGTAAAGAATGTTTTATTGAAACACAGCCACATTCATTTATGAACACATTATCTATGGCTGCTCTTATGGGTTGAATTTTGTTCCCCTTCCCAAATTCATATGTTGAAGCTCTAATCCTAATGTCATGAAATTTGGAAGGTAATTAGGCTCTAGATGAGTTCAGAAGGGTAGGGCCCTCGTGATGGGATTAGCGCCCCATGAGAAGAGACAGATACTTTGAGAACATCATCATCTGCAAGCAGGGAGGCCACACCAAGAAACCAAGGTGTCGGGAACTTGATCTTGGACTTCTCAGCTTCCAGAAGTGAGAGAAATAAACGGCCTGGTATGTAAGCCAACCGCTCAATAGCATTTTGTCATGGTTAGGGCAGCTGCTTTTGAAAAGTTGAGTAGCTGAGATTGCCCCACAAAGTCTAAAATACTCACTCTCTAGTCCTTGACAAAAAAAATTGTCAACCTCTGCTCTAGCTGTTAGGTGAAATTGGTAGCTATTGCTCTAGAAATTTTACACAGAAGAGTTTGAAGATGGTTCGAAGGAGTTAGGTATTCATAGCAGGCATCTCATTTTTCCCTAATGGAGATGGCTGCTGGTAGCTAAAGAAATATCCTATTTCTTCCTGTGGCAGCACTAAAACCTGCACATTCTGCAAACCCCTCCACTGAACCACTCTATAAACTGATGTAACCAGAGTTAGAAACTTGAGGTCAAAATCTGTTCCCCTTAATCATCAGGAGCATGCCCTCACCCAAGATCCAGGAGGGTTATGTGATTCCTAGCATACTAAGAATATAATTTTGGATATACAATTGACAAAAAATGTTCAATGTAATAAGTTTACAATAATAGCAATGAGAACAAAATATTTTCTATTAATAGATCAATGTGGAATAAAGTGAATGGGTAAGTGAGAAGCTCTATAGAAGATATCTATGAAATATGGTTTGGCGGGGGGGAAACAGCTACATTGACAAGCTAAAGCAACATGGTAGAATTTACAAAAGTCCAGGTCTTAGAATCAGAGATGGATTCAAATCCAGAGAAAATCCATTACTTACTTGTCAACTCTCAGTACCAATCTTAGAATCTCCACCTCCTCACCGATGCAATGAAGAGCATATTCCTCATTTGTGGGTTGTGAACATTTAAATCACTATTATATGCAGAATATTGCTGAAGTTCTTGGCTATTTAAAATAGGCCCTCAAAAATTTTTTTTAAAAAATAAATAAAATAAAATAGGCCCTCAAAAGGGTAGTTTATATTACTAGTCATTAGAAGAGATTTATTCACATTTTCTCTTTTCCTTTTCCCCTGTGAATAAAGTGACACTGACAGTACACCCTGATCCCACAATTTGTCACATTACTGAAACAACCCATCAAAAGCAACAGAGCTGAGATTATAAAAAAGTGACACATGCTGCTATAGGGAACAGGTTATGAAGGGAAGAAGCCACTGGATGTACCTGAGCACACTGGGAACTGTGAAGACAGGCACATCTTTCATTCATTCCAGGTCCCACTAAAACAAGACAAAACAAAGCGAAAATGTGGACTCTTCTGTCTCCAGCTTGTCTTCCTAGGAGAGGCAGCCACACTGGTATGGCACCCAGCTCTCTTCACTTATGAAATGTGAGCTCACTTGTGTGTGCAAGAGAAAAAGAGGCAACAGAACCTTGTGATGAGCTTATTTTAAATTTATTTTTTACTGGTGATTTGTTTTACTTATCTTTCTTTGAAACTTCACATTGCAAAACTGTCCTTTGGCTACTTAATTCCTCTCTGGCCCTGAAGAATAACTGCCTGCTCTGTTTCACAGAACTATTATAAACATGAAATGAGACACAACATAAACTATTATAAACATAAAATGAGGCATAGTTTTGAGGGGAACGGTGACAAATAAGATACGTCCCAAAGAACTGAATGACAATGAGTAGAAGCTTTGATAATCTTGCAAAATGGGGAAACTTTTCAAATCTGACAAATTTTAGTATCTAACAGGCTACCTGTATATGAGAAACTTGAAATTGCAAAAAGTGGAGCACAGACCAAAAGGACTTTGAGTTTCCTAATGAACAAATAAGAAAGTTTCTATGTGGCAGTTCCTGCCACATCCATCTCGCCATTGTTCCACATACTATTTACACTTGAAGCATCTGAGCACAGGGCTCTGTGTTTAGTCTGATTTAATGACTGTTAACAAAAATATAAGCTAGAAATGTTGTTCAAACATTGATCGAACGTTGTAACACAGCCAACACGAATACCACTCCAGCTACTCTTGTCTTCTCTTATAACCCTGAGAAGGAGTCACACTGACTTAATTATTTCATTTCTATATTACTACAGTATAGACATTAATTTTGCTCTTGGTTTGATTGTTTTCATCCATGTTGACTGCAACAAATGTTTTATATAAGAGGTGGCAGAAAGAAAGGATGGTTATTTCAAAATACTTCACTATAGACAGGCAATCATTTTAGATGAAATTCCATAAGTGTAGTTATCCAAACATATATTTCATTTTTGTCAATAAAAGAACCCTGTCCAATGCTCAATGACCTATAAATCAGAGCTAGGAGATTTTTTATGCAGATTAAATTTATGTCACACTCATCAATAAAAAAGAAAATAGTAATGAAGATTAAATTTGCAGCAACAGTACAAAGTAAAGTATTTCTATACCTATTTGTAGGCTATGTCATATGGCTAATTAATTTTTGAGATAGTGTTCTTTGAAAGAATTAATGGAGAGTAAGCTTTGTTAATTGATTATTAAATGAGAAGAAGGGTTTAAAGAGTTAGGAATGTAAAGTAGGGAACCAGCTTAACCTTACCAGCTTTAAAGAAATATATGTATAATAAAGTAAAATACATTGGTATTCATTTTATGACATTATAAATTATGTCATTATATATAAATACATATAAATATTATAACTATGTTATTGTATGGTTTAAAGTTCACTTGTTTTTCCTCAAGTCAGTTTTGCATTTTCCATCTTAAATGACAAACGCTCAAATATTTACTCATATAATCAGAGTGTCATTATTCCTTAAAAAGCAAAATATGTATAAAGGGAAAGAATATTTTATCACTACATATTGATGGGTATATAGTGCTGTAAAATAAAATAACTTTCCATTCCTCAGCTAATAGAACATGTGTACATATTAACCCTCTAGATGTGAACCAATGTGAAGCAGACTTGGACCACATACCCGTTTCCTTAAATTGCATGTCAGAGTGAGGTTCCTTGAGAATGAGTTTGCAAAAGCTGTGTAAAAGTCAAGGACTTTGAGCAAGGCTTCTCGCTTGATGATGTGTAGGTCACAGTAAGTCAGTGCCCGCACATTTGCACAGGCATGAGCAAGAGTAGTTTCCTTCCAGAAGATGTCTCCAAATACATCGCCTTTCCCTGGAAAACAGTTAAAGACCCACCATTAGTGTCTACAACACTTCTCATACTATTTTTATTCAATTTCATAATGACATTGATCTTGTAGCATAATCTTGAGCTGAGAACATGACCCCATTTAGATACACATAACACAGTGCCACACTTTCACATAATAAGTAAATTAGCATTAACCTGAATTCAGTGGTGGAAATCTAGATTGGCATGAATAAAGATAAATCAACAGAGATGCCAAAACTCTCCTTTGGTATTATGAGGAAATAAATCCCTGATGTGAAAAGAATAATAAGAAACTAAAATATTAACTCATAATAAAGAGGAAGAGTTTCTTCCTCTTTAATATCTTCTACCATTTTACCTTTTCCTATTCTGACAAAAAGGAGAAAAGATAACTTTTATTTTTATCCTTTCTGCTTTTTCTGTTATGATGACAATAAAATACAATATACAAAGATGTGCTGTTACAGCCTTTATATATGTAATTATACTGTTCCGTAACTAAGTATTGTGCTTAAAGTAGAGTAAGACTCGCCTGTCTTAGTCCCCAAAGGGTGCCCCTCCCTCTGTACTTGTCCAGCCTCTCAGAAGGTGCAGGGCTCAGGCCTAAGCTTAAGGACCTGAGCTGTGTAAAACATGGAGGCCCAGATGTGTTATTGCACAAACTGTCCCATGAAGAAAGCTGTACTACAGTTAAATGTAGATGGCTTTTTGAAAAAAATCACACAAATTACATATTCATTTCAGGGCACCATCCACTAGTAGCCTAAACTCAATGGTACTTAGTTCCCCAAATAAAGGGAATGAGGTAAAGTCAAATATCAGAGATCCCAAAAGGCTCTTCTGCTGAGGCACTTCCCTGGAGCTGTTGGCCCCTGGAGTGTAAGCAACTTCTCTCTTTGTTTGATATCTGTGGGAAAGTTTTCAAGTGGAAAATACAGGAGGAATATACCCAGGTGGGCAAAACCTTCCTCAAAGCACTCTTTGGATGCTGTATTCTTTCTGCACTCTAGCCAGAGATATGCACATATCTGTTCACATCATGCAGATTAAAATCAGAATGAGGAAAAGAAGAAGAAAGATACAATCCTTCCAATCACACCAGCAGAGAGAAAATACAGTGTAATCAGAGAAATATAAGAGAAAAACAAGGATCAAGGAAGCCCTCCAGAACCAGGAGACTTAGTGAGAAGCAGCACTGGAGAGCAGGAGACAACAGCTATTGCCTTACAGAGGAAGTGGTCAAAGCCCCATATGATCACCACAGAATAGCCACAATAGATGTTGAATTAATTTTAAGCGATTCATTTGTTTCTGGACCCTCAAAAAACTTCCTTTTAGCTACTGACTTTGAGGAAAGACTCAAGGAACTGTCTGATAGCCATACATTTGTTCAAGGAAGGAACATTAGAAACCTGGTACCCAATTACAGTCTCAAGGGCTCTACAGCACCATGACAATCTAAGGGAGACCTCAGCTACAGAAATTTAAGATAAGCTCAATATCTTTTTACACAGACAGGTTTCACAAATCTGCACATGGCATTTTCTTTGAACTAGTAATTCCAATTATGGGAATTTTTTCTGAATTATGAAAGTGTCCAATTTACTTATAGAAATGCTCACTGAAGTAATATTTTAATAGTCCAATAAAGTACAGTAAGAGAAAGATCAGTGAATAAATATATTATAAAATATTAGGCACCCAGTAAATAGCATAGATTTTTTTAAAGTGACATAGAGAAATACTCATCTAAATAATAAAAGCAGAATATCGAATTATACATAGAGTCGTGTCATTTTAGATACCCCACACTCTCTCAATTTACATAAATACACATAGCATAGAAGTAAATGCATTAAAGTGGTAGGTTCTTTTTGTATATGGGACAGTGGGTGGGTTTTGTCTTACATTCTATATATATTATTTTATAAACCAAAATTATTAATAGTTTATCATAGTTCCCAATGCTACAAAATAAGAAGCTTTTAACAGGCTGTTTCAATCTACCTTTTGTTTCTTCCTCTTTAATATTAGTTACTCTATCTTTTCTTTTTACACTTTTCTTTTTCCTTAAAGAGATAGAAGAAGGATAACATTTCTTACTGATTCATTTCTATGACACTTTCTCAAATTGCCAATTATAATAAAATCTCTGATCTATTTATAAACACTCATTACGTTTCAACTATTTGATTTTCATGGTACACTTTAATTCCGTTCACTCAATATTTTCACTTCTGGGAATAAATTCAAAGATTAAAACCAACATATGTAAAATTCACAGCAAAGTTATGAATCACCCTATTTTATAAAAAAAAGATGTCCAAAAACAATAGAAATTGTAAAAAATATATGTGACATATCAATACAGATTTAAAAGAAGTTTTGAAATAGCATGCAAAAAATCCTTACCTTATACTGGTAAATGAAAAAATAATACAAAGAATTATACTGTTATGGTAACAGCTATAAAATGAAACTGAAGTACCAAGACTAATAGAAAATCATGAAATGCAATTTTTCTTCACTTCTTAAGAAATTTTTTCTTGATAAAGCCAAAGTATATTATGTTATAATTATATTCTCATATAAAGTATTATATCTTATTATTAATTTGTCAATTGATAATAAATTGAGATAAAGGACAGAGACATAAGGCTAGAAAAAATACATTTAAATAATAGCAAAAATAGCTTCAAGTAGTATGTTAAATGATTTTCGTCGAGTACTGTTTTCCAAATTTTCCTATAGTAAATCTGCATAAACTATTTAAAAATAGCAAACTATTTTAAAAGATGTTTCGTTACATTTTTAATAACACTGAAATCATAAAACAGTTACATAGATACATAGAATACTATATTAATATTCATTGATTGCTAAATAAATAGTTTGAAGATAGTTGATACATACATGTAATTTCCTCTTCTCCGTATAGACCAGTGGTGGCAAACCTATGGCATGCGTACCACAGCAGGCTGTTATTACTGAAAAGTTTGCCACTATAGACCATTTTTAATTGTGGATGCATTTAAATATACATTATATATTTTATGTTATCTAACTAGTGAAATTAAAATTCTAATCCTATTTCTACTCAAAAGTTTAAAACATTAAATTATTTAGCTTTTTGGTATTATAAGGAAATCAATCTCTGATGTGTAAAGAATAATAAATTAAAATATTAACTCATAATAAACTTCAACCCCTGCTTTCTTCCCCAAAAATTTAGTGAAGCATTGGAAAATCAACAAATGTGGCTAGTATCAGAATTTACTTTAATAATAAGCAATAATTACTGTTCCATGACATAGAATTTCCAATTAGGATCTGCAATGTATAAGCTGGATATGAATCTAATCAATCATTTCAAAATATGTTTGTTTTATTCAGCTTTCTATGTCACCTAATGGGTACTCAGTGCCCAACAAACTTTATGGCACTGCTAGGAAGATAGACATAAGACAATTAATGATTTCACCAAATGCGACAAAGCTGGCTGATGCCCTCCTTCAGGACGTATCATAGACATTTACACTAAACAGCAAAAACCACAGGTTGTGGAGACATGGAATTACACATAGATATCCAATAAAGAAGTCCCCTTTCCTTCACTTCAAAGATTTTGTATACTTTGAGAATTTGGAACTCTATTCATTTTCATGACTATAGAATTCTTGATGCCGGTTTTTAGGTCAGCTCCTGCTGGGTGCACGTAATCTCAGCTATAATCATTTTAGAGCTTGAGCGAACTAACCTCCTCAAAGCCCTAAAATAGGAGGAAAAACTCGCACTGAACATGAAAGTTGTTGTTTGGTCTATTTATATTTTCTCAGTTCTTTGCATCAAGTCTTATGAAGTATTTCACTGCTAAACCACAGGAAACAGGATTGTAAAATAGAAGCTAATGTTAAAGATTCATATAGTAGGAATCTGGAAAATTTAAAGATAAAACACAGATAGCTACAATGTAATTAAAGGAGTCATGAAAACAATGGATTAAGGTCTACAGCACTGATTTCACAGCCAGATTTTTTTTTTATTGTGAGACACATTATTTGGTAAGTCAATGATATGAATAAGATGAATGCATAAAATTACAAAGTTACTTATCAGTGAGTATACCTGATTAATATATCCAACAGATCCCTAATAAAGTATCATTTGAACTTTACTGGTTTTCTGTGTTTGGGGGGATGTAATAATGGCTGTATTTGATGATTCTTCGGGACAATGTATTTAATTCATGTATAATGTTCCCTCTTTTTAAAAATTAAATTTTATTGTGCATATCTGAGGTTTACATGTGTTATAGGGTTCATATAATTAGTAAAATTCTTTCTATAGTGAAGCAAAGTAACACATCTATCACCTCACATAATTACTATGTTTGTAGATGCACCAAGAGCAACTAAAAATCTACTTATTTAACAAAATCCCCAATCTGATTGAATTTTATTAATTAGGTTCCTCGTGTTGCACATCAGATCTCTTAGACTTTTTAATTCTACATATCTGCTATTTTTTATCCATTCACCTACATCTTCCTATTTCTATCTACCCTATCCTGCCTGTGGTAACCATCATTTTATTTTCTACTTCTACACAGTTAACTTTTTTTCTAGATTCCATATATAAGCGAGATCACACAATATTTTTATTTTTGGGACTGGCTTATTTCAATTAGTATAATACCCTCCAGGTTCATCCATGTTGTGAAAAATACCAGAATCTCCTTGTACGAGGGTTAATAATAATTATACACATGCACACGCACACACACACACACACACACTTTTTATTCTTTAATTCATTACAGTTTATTTCCTTATCATGGATGTTGTGAATAAGTCTGCAAAAGACAGTGAAGTGAAGATACCTCTACAAGATGGTACTTTCATCTCCTTTGGGTATATACCCAAAAAAGTGATTGCTGGGTCACATAGTACTTCTATTTCTAATTTCTTTAGGGAAATCTATGCTGTTTTCCATCACAGCTG